TCTTTAATTGACAATTATTAATTAAATGTTTTATGTTGTATTTTAAAAATTTTTAAAAATACGTATGGTAAGTGTCTTTCTCAAATTAAGTGTATTAAGTATGGTAATGTAATTCTTAGATTTATTTTGATTCCATAGTTTGATTGTATTCCTAAAAAAAAATTGGATAAAAGATATGCTAATAAATAGAGATTTTGTTAATTAACTATTTTTAGGCAATAATTAATGAAATTGGCGGGAAAGTGTTTCTAAAAGTGAATTATGTTAATCCTTATTATATATTAATAGATATATAATTTTATGTATAAAAGTAAAAACAAAAAAATAGGAAGACATACTTTTTTGTGATGGAAAATATGTTTTTTTATTGCAACATATACTGAATATATACTAACATAAACTCAATATATACCGCTCGACAGCTAGTGAATTACAAAACATGTTTTTCATTACAACATATACTGAATATATACTAACATAAACTCAATATATACCACCTGACAGCTAGTGAATTACAAAACATGTTTTTATTTCTCCTATAAAAAACGTGCGCGAATTAAGGAATTAAATGGGTCAGTTATTTATTTTCATTTCTTTCTCTTAATCAAGGGCATAAAAAGGGGGATGAAAGTGTGAAGGATATGGTAACTTACTTTAGGTATTAATATATATAAATAAAGTATTTTAGGTAGAAACATAAATAATTTTACCTATATGGTAAAGTTGTAATTAATTTAAAATCACATAGCACACATAAAAATTTCCCTTAAGGTTTCAATTCACATATGACATGGCAGAACGTAGAGAAACAAATTCACACCAAAATTAGATTAACATGGACAAATTACAAAACAAAGATACAAACATAAACACATTTTCCCTTTTGTAAGTTATCTGAAAATTAGAATTAAATTTACAGATTGCATTCCGCAGAACACCACAAAAAATATTGAATGAGGATGGAATTTCAAAACAAAAACTATGGTTAAAAAGGAAAATATATTAATGATAGATATTTCAAAATCTTCGTCCGAAATTAGTTTGGGGAAGGAGGGAGTCTGCAAACAAACTCACCTTTTAGCTATTATTTGAGAATTTCTTTTTCCTAAAGAACAATTAATAATGTTGTAAAAAATTGTAATATTTTTGCAAGGTTATGCTCATCAACTCGATTCCACCAAATCTGGGAACCAAATGAATAGATTTTGAACTCTATTCATCCAAGATTAAACAATTAACATCACCATATTTTAATTCACAAAATTCACACACCTGACAGGCTGACACCACATTTCAATTCATAGTCAATAAAACCTAAATTAATCAATAAGCCGCTAAGGTTCAGCCGTCGTTACCTGACCTCGGAGTCGCTCTCAATCCAGCTGATTTGCCGGCTGCCGGACGCCGCTCGATCCTCGAATGTCTTGCTTTCTCCGTTCCTCGCAATCGCCGCACCCTCACACTGGTCTCACAAGTCGCAGCTCTCGCTTCCTTGCCACCGGAGCCGGATGGAAAATGCGTCGCTCACAGAGGCTTGAGAGGACAGGTTCAGAGTAGAGGGCTTTAAAACTTGCGAGTACAAAATAACTTCAGATTAACAGAGGCACGAGGTCGAGAGACCAGAGTACAAAATAAATCCCTATCTATTTTGTGTGAGAGTGAAAAGCGTGTTAGTGCGTGAGAAGAAAAGTGAGAGACCGTGATTTTATTTTATTGGGCTTTGTTGTTGTTTTGTTGGGCTGTTTAAAAAATATGGGCTAGATACAAAATCATATAGCGCTATTTAACAAAAAAAATGTAAATGTAAATTGATTTTTTTTTTTTATATAAAAAAAAATTACCTGGGCTGGAGCCCACCCTAGCCCATGGGTGGCTCCGCCCCTATATATGGTGAACAAGAATAAGTCAAACTGTTATTTTATATCATATGAAGGAATAAATATGTATACTAAAATCAAATACATATTAGTGTAAATGTGTTAGTGAGATAATATATATATTAATTATTTTACAAGCTAAACCTCATATTTAGTGTTCTGGCTAAAACATACAACGTTGATTAGAAGAGGCGGAAAATAGACTATAACCCTATTGATTTTTAGACTTAAAGTTGATTAAAAGAGGTGAAAAATATTGCCTTTTAGACTTAAAACAAAACATGTGAAAATAACTCATTTAATATATGTGTCCGTGCATTGTTCATACTAGGTATTGTTGGAAAAATCAGTTATAAAACTTGGGTTTGACCCGATTTTGACTGAATTTTGATGGCTAAGTATTTAATTCGAGTTGAATTAAATAATGTAGAAAAATTCACGTTCCGAGTAGATACTCGTGGTATATTTATTTTTCTCAAAACTGATTTTCGGTGAGTGAGAAATAAATTGTTAAAGTTAGCCATATAAGGGCATGTAAAACGTTGGTTGTGGGATTTGAAGGGTCAAGAGTCATTCCCACATTGGACGAGTTGGAGAGGTCACAACAAGCACAAAGCTATGCACCAAGTGTTGGTGTTGGCTTCAGCCACGTGCGCCGTCTGCCCGCCCGCCGGCCGGCTCGGGCCTGGGCCTTGGGATTTGGGACTTGGCAATTGGACTTTGGGCTGACATTGGACGGTCGGGCTTGGGCCTTGGGCCCAAATGTAATATATTTTTTTGGTGCAAATTTATTTGCAACTTTAGGCCCAACTGAAAAATCCAAATCAAGTTGGACTCGGACTCGGGCTTTTGCCAACCCGGGTGAGACCTCTCCAGGTACAATGAACTTGGACACCTGACTGTTCATGTGGAATGTGACTGTTCAGGTGGAGTGTTAATGGTGTTAATTCCTAATTAATGGTATTAACTCCTAGTTAATGGTGTATTAACACCTGAAACATTTCTGCCCATTATCTCTGTCTTAAGTTGCAGATGTGCCTGTTTGCTTTCCCTCAAGAGGTGAAAGTCCTATAAATAGGACTTAGAGCTGCAGAGAAAAACATTCACAACATTGCATGCATTCTGAATACTCTCAAAGCCTCACGCATTATATCAAAAGTGCTCTGTTGTCGACTTCATTCCAGTTCGCCGGAGATCGAATTCTGGTGTGCTACAACGTTCGAGACGTTAGCCGTTGTATCTTTGAGGACGAGACGCATGAACCCGTCAGCACTATACGGGGCGTTTTCGTCTTGCGGAAAGAGCAATCACCTCGGCTTTTTTTTTTCTGCTTTTTCTTTTGTATTTTTTGATTCTGTTTTAGTTCACTTTGTAAGAACTGAAATCATCATCTTTAGTTCATAGGTTTCCGTGTAATTCAATCACAACTTTGTGTAACAGTTATTGATCATTACTATATGTAAAATAACTGCATTGGGTGGTTCCCAAACTAATTCAAACAACTAATATGAATATGAATATATGATGCGATTTTCCTTAATTTCAGGCCACACGAGTCATTAGTCTCTACCAATTAAATTAATTAATAATATAATATACTTTCATAAAGTCACATATAGTTTATACACTCACATGACAGGCCCGCAACAGCATTTGATGCCATAATTGTAGCTGCACAATTGCATTAGAGAAGATAAAACAAATGGTGTTGGTGCAAGTGGCTTGGTTATACACATCATCATAATTATTAATTTTCTTCCAATTTTATATTACTTTTTTGTGCATTGACAAGAAAACCAAGGACCATATTGTATATTTCATTTGATATTCACCAATTTTTGGGTTTTAGCCGTTAGATCAACAACACTCATAAGGACGAATTTGGTAAACCAAAAAAAAAAAAAGGA